GGATGACAAGCTGACCATGAGCCAGCAGTGTGCCCTTGTTGCCAAGAAGGCCAATGGTATCCTGGGGTGCATTAAGAGGAGTGTGGCCAGCAGGTCAAGGGAGGTTATCCTCCCCCTCTACTCTGCCCTGGTGAGACCCCACCTGGAGTACTGTGTCCAGTTCTGGGCTCCCCAGTTCGAGAAATATGACGAACTCCTAGAAAGAGTCCAGAAGAGAGCAACTAGGATGATAAAGGGACTGGAGCACCTCCCCTATGAGGAAAGGCTGAGAGAGTTGGGCTTGTTCAGCCTGAAGAAGAGAAGACTGAGAGGGGACCTCATCAACACGTACAAATATCTTAAGGGTGGAAGTCACGAGGATGGAGCCAGACTCTTTGCAGTGGTGTCCAGCGACAGGACAAGGGGCAATGGGTACAAACTGAGACATAAGAGGTTTCAGTTGAATATGAGGAAAAACTTCTTTACTCTGAGGGTGACAGAGCACTGGAACAGGCTGCCCAGGGGGGTTGTGGAGTCTCCTTCTCTGGAGATACTCAAAGCCCGCCTGGACGAAGTCGTGTGTAACATGCTCTGGGTGAACCTGCTTTAGCAGGGGGGTTGGACTGGATGATCTCCCGAGGTCCCTTCCAATCCTTGCCATTCTGTGATTCTGTGGTACTACTCTTGAACTCCTGAAGCTGTATGTGTCTGGTTTGCGATATTAGCACTGTCATTGCTATTCACTTATGCAATATATTCATAGCTATATTTCAATTCTGCCCATTAAGCCATTTTATTTGCCAAATTTTCTCTTAAAATAGCATATGGTTTCAACAGTGTGTTAAAAAAAGGAAACCAAAATAAAATAAAAATAATAAAATAGTCAAGGTGATCTGAATAAAAGAAACCTTAGAGGTCAAAGACCTGAAACAGTCTGGAAGGAGCTTTAAAAAAATTGTAAAAATAGGCATACAATTGTTAAATAAATATTACATGTTATTTAGTAATTTATGTTATTCAATAATTATTCGCTTTCCTCAAATTGTCATGTATATATTTTCCTATAAGTTTTAATTATTCTTTAGTCAAATGCCTATTAATTCTACATACAAAGCAGAGGTTGTAAATAAATAACAGTGGTCATGAATGTCCCTTCAAAGCACATATACAATTAAACAAAAAATTCAGCTACCTAAGACAGAAATATTAATAATCTTGAAATAAAACCCTTACCATCTATGCAGTTCCACAATCAAAATTAGAAAACAGCCAATCTGCTACAAGTTTATATGCAATAAAATTGAGGCACTTTAATGGGACAAGACAAAATGATAATTTATAACTTTGCTCACAATAAATCAATGTGCTGCTATTTCTCAGACCTGTAAAACTGGTTTAGCTATTATTATAACCTCTATCAAGGATTAAAGGCCTGACTACAAAAAGAAAGAGCTTTCTGAAATTAACTTTGGGAACAGAACACCAACTAATGTCATCAGAGGTTTTCTTCTGTTTATCTAGTGGTCAGGACAAGTAATTGGATCCATTTCATCACATCTAAACTTGCTCTTGGTGTGACAGATAAAAATGAACATATTATCTCTGGATATTTTACTTCCACATTCAATTAAATTAAATGAAAACATTGTTTAAGTAGTTTATACACAGGCTTTTTATTCTGATAAGGTTTTTTTGCATGTCATAATGAATCCACTGAGACTTCCTGAAGGCGGGAGAAACAGCACTGTAGTTTTAGTATGAAAATATCACGAAAGGGTAAAAACAGGGCTACAGTGTTTACAAATATACATAATAAAGCAACTGATCTACAGAATTTCTTTGACTCTTTCTTTCACAAGTCTTCTTAGACAAGGGAAACTTCTACGTATTCACTGCTTTCAAGATGATTTTTTTTTTTTTTTCATTCAAACCAAAGATTTTGCCTTTATTGAAACTCCTCCAGTGGAAAACCAAATTCTCAGCCCATCTTTCTAATACTGGCCTGCATCACACAGTCCTCTTCTGATGCCTCACACAACCATTACTAACTGTGGACACTCCCACGGGGGTCTGAGCAAGGGAAAAGGCACGGTCAGTGATAGGATCACTCTTTCAAATACTTCCACATAGCATAAAAAGCTGGAGATCCAAGTTTATACTAATAAATAAGATTCTGCAACAAAAGCAACACAAGATCTTCTTTTGCTTCAGAGAGAAAAATAATAAATCATCAAGAAAGACCACTGAGGTCCAAGGAAATGAAGATTGCTAGCCTATCTGGATAGACAGAAGGAGGGACTTAAAGATTTAAGTGAAAACATAACTAATTTGCTGGAGAAGGAGGTGCTGGAATGTCATAAATTCTGCTTGTGATCAGAAGTGACATTTTGGCATGGTTTGCAGACAAGTAAAAACATGTTCAGGTATGCTGTTCTGAATTGTTCCGGCATGAAATTATCCCTGAGTGAAAACACAAGAGAAAAGAATTCTTTCCTGTTCCTAATCTTTCTTAACCTGCTGTTGTGCTATCTAACAAAATATCACAGTTATATCAAATCTTTGTGAATGTTCTTAATTTAAAAATTAAAGAAATATTAACTATCTACTGTTCCTGTATTAGGTCCAGAGCCTTTAACTGGACAGGCTAAAACACTTCATGGAAGGCTTTTTTTTTTGGTGGTATTTCAGGTATAAATAAAGCCACAAAGAAACTGAAAATCTGAAAGGAGTTCTTACAAGATTTACACTATTTTTTTAAACCAAAATGCTTGGTGATATTCATATCCATATTTCAGAATACTTGTCTGTATTGCAATCCTCTGATCACCCATAGCACAAAAAAATTTTTTTCAAGAAGACAAGTAAAAGTCAATAAATCATGAACCAACAGTAATATCAGGGGTCAAGATAGAAACCACCAGGTGAAATAAAAATAAGAAGAGTATAAAAATGCAGAACAACTACAAGAAAAGCATCTAGAAGGCACATAACCTAATTGCCATTTGTTTCACCACAAGAAAGACGGAAGTTCAAACTGGCTTTCTGATACTGTGTTTCATACTCTTCTCGTATAACTGACCGTAAAGCAAAGAGATAAACACAGAGGCATCCGCTTCATATTACGGCCCCACTTTGCTTGAGTTTGAACATAACATAGTAAGGGCATTATCTCTAACGTGACAGCAGATGATACCTGCATAACAAACTCTCGACGGCGAGGCATTCCTCTCTCTGAAAGTAGAACATACTCTGGCTCCTTCTCCTTTTTGGCCTGTTGGATCTGAGCCAGACGGCTGATGGGATTCATTCCTTGACCGTATTCTGGTCCAGTCTAAAAAAGGTTTAAGAGAAAGAACCATTATTTCAGCGTATATCCATAGAACAATGCTGCTTCAATAAATCATTTACTAGGGCTACCTCTTCTTTAATACTCCCTCTGAAAGAATTAGAAGTAGATTTCTCCCCATCTTCTGATCATGAAACAGAAGGTAAGAATACTCAAGCTCAAAACTACATCAAATAATCTGCACCTATTGGCTGGCACTGCTGCAGGTAGTGGGCATATCAAGCCTCTGTAAGCCACTAATACCCTCATTTATCTACGGAGGTCCTATGGGGATGGGTGAAAATTAGCAGATTCATCAATCAATTATATCTCATTGCCCCATTTCCATGATCCTTCCCCCTAGCACCTTAAAATAGGTTGCTACAATGCTGGAACATGCACTATGCTAAGAAGAGGTGGGATTTACAGGGGGACAAAAAAGTTTTGCCATATAACAAGGAAGCTGCCTCTCTCAGCCTTCCTTCTCAGCACTCCTGCCTTTCATCCTACACTGCAACTAAAGGTGTGGAAGGTTTACTCTGTTTGCATGTCATAGGAATTTGCCCTCAAAATAGTTTTATGTAGTGAAGCTAGAAAAGGCAGAGAGGAATATCTCCAATAGCTAGAAGTGTTGCAAATTGTGAGCCACCTACAAAGTATTTCAAATGCTTAACAGGCAATAATTCTCACAATAATATGTCAAAATGTATGGTTGGTGGGGGAATTGATCTGATGGGGGGAAACCAAAAGGACTGAGAACTGGTCTGTCCAGGATTACACAGACAGGTGGAAACCTACAGTCCTTATAAACCACCTAGTTCTGAAATCCTTTTAATACAATACTACTCACATGGCAAATGCTCTCTCAAAGCAAATAGCTATGAAAATACTTGTTTGTCTTAAAAGAGAAGAAATTAAGACCCCAGAATATTTATCTGAAATCATATTTAAATGATTTATATACCCTAACACCAAGAAAGAACTCGCAAACGTAAATGGCATTTGAATGTAGAATTGTTTCTGTGTTATTGAGATTTGCCCTTTTCACGAAGCCATTTGCAGAAGAGAATATCAGCAGTCATGCTTGTTTGAGCTTCTCAAATAAGAACAAACAAGTGGTCCAGAACCTAAAGAGATGATCAGCAACTGAAGGCAAAGACCAGAGAGTGATATTATACTAAGCAAGCTGTGCAGCAGATCCTTCATAGCATAACTGCTGAAGTTGTTAGAGAAGATGTAGGTGAAAGAATTAAGACAATGTCATGTGCAAGGGCAGCTGCGTGGGCAAGGAGCCAGGCAGAGACAAAATGCAGAGCAGGCTAAATAAAGTGCAGGCCATAAGATATAGCCTCATAAATACATATACAAATAAAAAGAAGTTATTGTTGCCACTTTGTTTGATGCTTAAAACATGTGCAGGTTAAATTAAAAGAAATGGGCACACTGAAAGCATTTCAGAAGTTTGGATAATTGAAAAATAAAAACCTTCTACATATCCAGGTTATTTTGACTATTAATGTCTCTTTCTAACATGGCCAACTTTGGATAGTTCAGTTTAGGACTGTAATGTAAATGGTATATGGTAATACAAGACATTTTTATATTATTATACCCTTAGCATCTTTCTTGAGAAAAACTTTCCAAAATAAGACAGCCAGAGCCAAGAGCCTTTTCAAATCTTGCAGCTTTAAAGCTGCATTAACGCTGGTGGTTTTCCATTAAATAATTTTTATGCTCATTTTTGCTTAGAAGTTTTTGAGAACTGGATCCCCAGAATTTCAGTAGGAGCTGGGTATTTGATTAACCTAGGGTGGGGTTTTTTTTGAAAAATCACTCATTCTGTTTTGAAGGCAAATGAAAAGAGGAAGATGATGAAGTAAGCCCTTTGTACATTTTCCAAACCCAGCTTTGCACTCTCCAAAGTATTTGCTTATTTTAGATGGCTTTTCTGTTGGCTGCTCCTACAGAACTCTGCACTCGGTGTACCAAGTATACAGATTTCTAGTAGTCACACTTTTAGTAAAGTTAGTACTGATTTACTTCTATCAATGTAACACTCAATGAAGATTGAGTTCAAGCCATACTGGTATAATGCTGTCCAGCCTAACATAGTGCAAGCTGTGGATAACATAATTCAGAAAAATTGAATTTTTCTTTTTTTTTTTAAACTAACAAGAAGCAAATACAGAAGAAGAGGTGGAATTTAGGTCCTAATACTATATTCTGAAGCACAGGTTTTGGACATGAAGGTTTCCTGGTTTTTCCTGCAATTGAAATCTCAAGGTTCCTGATCTGCATAGCATGGGGCAAAAGTGACTCTGCAACACCAGACAGAAAGTGAGCAACTCTCCACCATTATTTACATCAAGCTAAAATGAGTATGAATGCCTATTAATGTGTCCTTATGTACGCCTAAATGACTATCCAACATGTCAGACAACAGAAAATCATGTACAAAGAGTTTAACTACTTCCTCACAAAATAATATTCCTAAAATAAAATGAAATGTAGCAGATTTTGGCCATTTCCAAGGCCTCGTCTTCTGCACTGAACAGATGACAAGTTAATCTGATCAGTCGTTCAGTGCTGAGACTAGGTAGTGATGCTTCATAAATACATGGACACTATACGGCTACTTTTGTTAGATCATTTGGAAGATTAATTACTTCAGATGACACTCTGGTTTTGTATGAATTTAGGATGAGTAGGCAAACCAGGGCTAGTCATCACAGACTGACTGAATTGTAGAAGTAGCAATAAATCTACTGCCACCAAGAAAAAAAGCACCATTTAAGAAGCTTGAGCTCACAAGAATCCAGAGCCTCTGAAGGAAGCCTCATCAGTGCAGCAGGAAGCGTATTAATATCCGCTGAGACAGGGCATATTTTAATGGAGGGATGGTTCAAGGTCTGCAAGTCCTCCATGGGTTGATCTCCAGTCAATTATTCTGTCTGTATGTGAGAGCTAAAGAGCACTATCAAACACAGGCGCGTGAAACAAAAAAAGTATTGTCCTTTGACGCTTCATAAGTGACACGCTAGGCTGAGATGTCAACATACTCTTGGTCTTCTTTCAAATCTTTCAAAAATCAAAACAAATTGAAGTTGAAGCCACACAACTCCCGAATCTAGCTCCACGAGGGGAGGAAGCTGGACCGTGCACCACTTCCCCATGTATCTACTATTTCGTATCTCTCTCTCCCTCTTCAAACTGGGAACGGGGTAAAGACCAGGAAGAGAATCACCATATATGCTAGTAGGGCCTCCCAGAGATAATAGTAAAAATTCACATGGCTGTACACAGCTGCTTGGAGGTTTCGATCCTCCACTGGACTTGAACCAAACCCCAGAAGACTTCAGTGATGTGAGCTCAGTTTTAGGCTGAGCACCTTACAAGCAATTACGAGAATTTCACAGCGTCCTCAGAATTTAAAAAAGTACAGGCATATTAGCACAGGCAAACAAGTAACAGTATCAACAGCAAACCACAAATAAGCCTTCACTGATTTAAAAACTGAGTAACTCCGTTACTTTCTGACCAAACATTCTTAATTCTGTCAAAGGCAGACACATACCTTCAATATTGTTTTTGGACGTTTTTTAAAGTAAAGTTTTGGCTTTTCAATCACCGGAAGCGGAGGAAGTTTCTTAAGTTCCTGTAGGACAGCCATTGCAGCACGTTTCTTTGAGAGTTTCTTACTGTTGCCTTCTCCTTCTGCAGTGAATTCTCCTACTGTAACTCGTGTAACAAAGCTCTTCATGTGAGGAGGTCCACTTTCTTTAATCACCTTTGAAGCGAAAGTAACATTGAGTCAAATCACCCTGCAAGACTGTAACTGAATGTTTGTATTTCTGCAATGTGCTTAGTACTAGCGCAGTTTTCCTGCTAATCGAAGGCATCAGATGGGCTTTCATAAAGTCTGGACAAGTATTAATGACAGTACCAGGTTTGAGGACAGAAAATTAAGACTAATTAGATAAAGCAAAGCCAACCATCTTATTCAGTGTTTCACAGAAAATACAGTAGGCCTGTATTTTCAAAAAGATTTATACAATAACACAATGCACAACAACAATGCATATTTAAACCAAGCCTGCTGGATTTTTCATTGCAAGGTGCTTCACATACCAAAGAAATTAAATTCATGAAGATCTACCAGGCTTTGGTTATTTATTTACATAAAACATATTCAAAACTGGATTTATATGGCATCACTTCAACCCATTTGTAATTTTCTTCCACTATCGTTAAAATGTAGGATGTTCACGCACAGTCCCAAACTTCAGTCTTAAAGGCCCCCATTTTTATGCTCTCCTAGCTGCAGGCAGCGTGCCTGCTCTCAACCCTTACCTCGGCAGAGCACACAACTCAGGGCAATATCCCGTACATCTTGCCTCCACAACTCTCAGCTGTCTTTCCCAACAGTACCAAAAGGAATTATCAAAAGGGCCACCATAACTCACACAAAAGCCAATCAGTTCTGAAAAGTTTCATTTATTCATTTCCTTCCGAAGATATTCAGGATGACCATGAGAAAACCCACTTGAAATACTTCACCGCTATTAGAAGTTACAGTAATATGGGGGAAAAATGAAGTTCTGCATGCTTTTAGCTCTTTTTCTGTCTCCATTTTTCCACACACACCCTGTCTCCTTTTAGGAGGCTATACTGATGGGATGCATTCACCAACAAATCACAGCACCGCCAGTGCTAAGACAGCCATCTCCTCATGTGTGCACCATTGACTGATCTGGATAATGTCTATGAGGAATTAGAGACCTCATTTGGGAAAAGGTTCAGTTATTTTGTCTGCTGGGCGGAAGCAGCTTCCTAATTTAATCTTTCTTATGTGTAATGTGCATAAGGAGACATTAGGGCATCCGACAGGCACCTCTCTGTATTATCTTCAAAATCAATACAAATACATATTTTTTCAGTAGGTACAATTACATCAAGCCATTTGTTGAAGAATTATAATGCCTGAGTGCAAGGGAACTGAGGTAAAGGTGCTAGGGACGTCTTGGTGTAATAACTATATTTTTAATGGGCTGAAACCTTCAACCTTAATATTATTACAACATGTTTTGTATTAAAGTTCTTTTTATCAAGGTCGTGTCCCTTGCATTATTTAGTTTTGCTGTTACACTGTAATGAGGTCTCCTTAGGCTTGTATTTCTTTTTTAAGCTCTCTTTTGTGGCAACTTCACCCAGCAAATACAATTATCGCAGCATATATCAATAAAAAGACACAAAATGAAAATTAACAGACAACTTTGTCCGCATTTTCCCAGAATAAGACAGCATCTGTGCCAGCATGGGATTTTTCTGTTGTAACCCAGGAGTGTTCCCACTCTAAGATTCCAGGTAATAATTTCAGAAGTGTTTTCAAGATTGCCTCACTTGGAAGTCATCCGCTAGTGCTTCCCGGTGTGCAAAGGCAGCACCATTTTCGAGGCACGGACCCATGGGGAGCCAGGGGAAGCTGTGCTGCCCACGCCAGAGCTGGGATGAGCCCACACCAGGATCTCCCGCTCTCGGGCACAGTCGGGTTTCAGGTCGGTGATGAACACCTCCATCACTCTGCAGTGTTTCCCACTCTGTTTTAAAGGCTTATCTTAATCCATCCCTGTACATTGCTATCCAAGTATTACAACACATTGGCTGTAAAACATGGCTAAATTAACCTTACTAAGGTCCTTAATCTTTATGTGGTCTTACTAATACCATTATATAGGTGTTTCTACTTACATGCAATATAATGTGTTAATAAAAAAATCAAGAATGTCTATAGTGACCAGATGAAAAAGGACAAAATAACTTGCTTAAGAAATATAATTGCTGAGTTCCTAAAATATTAGCTTTATATAAGTTTTCTCATATATATATATAAATGTACACAAATATATATATATATGAAAAAGAATGTTAACACAAAATGAGATTGTATTTTCATATACATGAAAATATATTTCTTAATATAAAACTAATGTATTCCGGTATGGTTTTCATCCTTTAAACTTTTAAGTATGTGATACAAGGTAAATAATTGCCTGGAAAACATTCAAAACTGTTTCTTTGTTAGTGTGCAAATGAAACAAAGTCTGTGTTGTCAATGGAATGAACCCCATAGGATTCAGATGGGATCTTAATCAAGCTAAACATCCAAATTTGGTGATTTAGCAAAAAAAAAAAAAAAAAAATTTACCTAACAACATTTTTGGTTAACCCCAGATTTTAGATCTTTTTACTCCATGTGATTTCAAACAGTGTGCTATAAGCCTAGGGACAGAAAACACTATAAAGAAACTCAGCCTTTGCTATCCAAGAACACTACATGCATTAGTACATTAAACTATTTCCTCAGTTGAAAGATACGACCCGTGGACCAAATCATGGCTAATTTAAAGCTGAGAATTTGATTAAGGGTGACAGTTCAATACACTTTTCTTTTTCTGTTCCACTGATTTAAAGAATAACTCCAGCAAGAGAAAACACATGGGGCCAAAACACATCTAAGGTCAAGTTACATCTAGAGTGAATTTGGCTCAACTTAATGAATCATGCTGACAAATGAAAAACAGCAGTACAACGAAAGAGCAACAGTGCTTCAATTATTAATTAGACTCCAGGTAAAAAATTCAAAAGACTGTAAGAAGATTAAATGGACATTAAAAAAAAAAAAAAACAGAGGAGACAAAAAGCAGGTCAACAAAAAGCAGGTCAACAAAAACATGTCACCTACATCCATGATTATTTAGAAATTTTAAAATACCAATATATTTACATGTGCTTGTGCGGACAGACATAGCAGATTTTCCCAGTTTAAGAAAAAAAAGAAAAAAGTCTGGATGTTTTAATAAAACTGGAGTGAGGAAGGGTGACCATCATGCAAAACGCGTGTGAGTGCTACTCAGTACGTCAAGCATCCAGTCTGAAGCCTTAATCCCCAGGAGAGCAGGAGCCAGACGGGTGTGAAACTTCCCACTGAGAACTTGCTCAGTCTCCCAGAGTCAGCAATTTGGTCTGTTCCTGGTTCAAAACACACGATCTCTGCCTCACTGCAATAAGACTGGGATACAAGAAACTGCAACTTTTTTTTCCCAGCAGAACACTGGAAGAGGATGGAGGGGCAGAAAGTTTGCCTGTTCAGGCACTCTATCCCCTCAGTCCTGATATTGAGAATGAAAAAACCCATATTATTGTATTTGGTATTCTAAAGAAAGAACACTCCAATCCTAAGAAAAACACTGAAAATAAAAAGACAATCTGAACTCCCCAACATGTTCTAATACCTGAAGCTGTTGGCCTCAGTTACATCTTCTAGGCTCACCAACTCCTTACTGACAAGTTGGAAATAAAAAACATATATGTTGCAAGAGAACAAAAAAAAAAAAGCAAGATTTTAGCCTACTGTCAAGGAGGGAATAAGCAAAATTACCATTTTACAGCTATTCTAACAATTCCTACAGCAATCAGTTTTGTATCCCTCCTTAAAAATTGTTCATTGAGAGTCCCATAAATGCCTCAGAGGAGTTACATTTTGACTTAAAAGTTGATGAATAAAGGTTAGCTAAAGATGCACCAGCAAGAATGATGGAGTTAAGCTTCATCTTTGTTAGAAATTCTTTGTTAGAAATTCCTTAAAACTCATCCTAAAGTTCCTTGGCAATTAAAATTAGCCATATTACACGCAACAGGATAGACAGAAGGAAGCCACAGGGTTCTGCATGCTCTCCCTATTTTCCACCCCTTGTGCAATTCTGAGCACATGTTTACATAGAACTTTACATCTCTTTATCGCCATTACTTAGTTGCATAACACAGCACTGTTGGAACACTGGCTAAAGCTTCGTTGGATGAAGAAAAGGCAGATCATTTTATAGCTATCGCACAAAAAAAAGCTAGAGAAAGCTTTGATGCCTGCCTGGAATAACACAAAACCATTTGTAAATAAAATCCTATTAGAAACATCAGATCCTGGGGATTACCCATAATTGCTTAGCAGTTTTATTGAAATATAAGTCAGTACCAAGTTCAATCAAAACTCTATTTAAGAATGCCACCTCTACTTAGATTTAAAGGCAGGAAATAATACAAAACCTGTCAGGAGAGCAAGAAACTGTCTTTTTTCAATGTTGTTAACATTCTTTGGCAAGTGACACGTTATGTTTTTCCTGTACTAAGTATCTCTTGCCTTCATTCTCTCCTTACTAAATGCTCTCCCTTAAATAAGATGAAACACAGGAATGAAGTTAAGACGACATTCGAAGCACTATCCCTCTTTTCCTTCCATCCTCCAAGCTATTCTGTGCCCCGTGACCAGTCATCTCCTTGTATTTTAGTGTTCTGATTTGTATGGAACTATTCCAAATACTTTTGAATACTTAAGGTAGAAAATGATGTGTGAAAACTGAAACGTTAATTATGAGCTTCCTTTCTGAAACACAGGCATGTGTTTCCATTATGTCTGATCTTATATGAGAGTTATGCTCTTTCCGTGCAGTTGCAAACTGATACATCAACACCCCTGACACCCCAGTTTTATCCTTGAGATTTTACATTCTCTAAACTTTCTAATTAGTCCGTATTACATAGACCATATATACGAAGCACACATGCGTTTGTATACTGAGGAATTCCTTAGTCAAAACCAGTATTCTTTGCCTTTGGCTCTCTTACCTACCTTCTGAGAGATTTCTCAGATTTCTAAGAAGGTCCAAATAGCTCATTTGACTTTGGCCAATTCATGGGTATGGGATGTCAGTAAACTGCACGCAGCACACTGTAAAGCATGCCACAGCATAATTTATTTTTTTGGCATGCAAATATGTGCCTACACCTCAAAAGGAAAAAACACTGAAGAAAATAATCATCACCAGTATAAGGCACTACACCCACATCCTTTGTATATACTCAGTATAAGTGTAAAACAAAAAGCAGAATAACAAAACTTTAAAGAGCCACTTACATTAGCATTTTCTGCATTTAAAAAAAAAAAAAAAAAAAAAAAGGAAAAAAACCCCAGCTCGGAAGTCTGGTGGTTCCCACCACAACAACGTTAGATTTTTACAACCAGTTTGTGTAAGAACTTTCTCATCGGAAAAATTTTCCTATCACTCAATCTCCCGTAGTTAGTTCATTGATAGCATTGGAGGTATTCCAAATCTTCTTTATTACTTAAGGTAAACAAAGGTGTCAGAAGCAGGTTCATAGATAAAATCATACAAAATGAGAAAAAAAAAATCATGAGGGCTTAAATATAGATAGATAAGGAGTCAAACAGCGTGGAAGATAAAAGATACTCATGACTTTCTGAAAACAGCACACTGGATGCAAAATGTCTCAGTGTGAACTTTCGTAGTGGATGAATGTCTACAGAAAAAGCAAAGACTTTGGCCATCTTGAAGATTATTTCAAATCAGACTGAGTGTGATTACTGATTCTAATCCTACAGCACTATACAGAAGATGCTTGAACTGTCTTTCTGCCATCCACTTGTTTGCAACCACATACATATGGTTAATAATACTTCTGAAAGAGCATCTTATTTAATAGTAAAAACTCACTGTCTTAGACTCTGATATACTACCAATTTTTTTGTTTATAATTTGCATGGATTTAAATGTCATATTCATAATGTATTAATACTATTAACTGTGTTGAGTTTTAGTGGCATTTTTTTTAATACTTTCTTAGCAGACATAAATATGTAACACATACCTCAAAACTGACAGGTATATTGCGCTTCAAAGCAATTTCAAACACTACACTGATCTCAGACTTGTTTGCATCTTTATCTTCTTCTGATTCTTTTCCTGTTTCTCCATTCTGAAAATGAAGAATACATAATCATATTACAATTTTTAGAAGATTAAAAAAACAGAATATGCTTCTCCCCCGATTTCTCAAAGACTTTTGAGTTGTCCTGTTATGCTGTAAATCAGCGTTTGTACATCCATCTCAGCACCCCATTATCAGGCACCTTGCTGACTGTGAAGCCATATATAATGCATTTATACTTCATAATAAAGGAACATATACACATTCATTTAGAAAATAGTTTAGAAAATAATGATATTAATTTAGAAATTAATGACAGATGGCAAAATAACTCCTATGGATTTTAGTCTTATTAATGACATGGGTAAGAATCATCTGAATACACCCTTCTTGTGTTGAACATGAGAAGCAAACAGATCCTTTGACCTGTTTCTCAGTCTCTCTGTGGGTACCCCTTCCAAGCAAGGAATAAGTCTTCTGTACTTCTTGAAAAGTACAGAAGACTGCACTTCTTTCAGAAGAAATTCAGTGAATCACCCCCACGCTTTGACTGGGTCATCAGGTTACAGGTGTCCTCAGCAGGTCCAGCTGGTTAATGGCCCCTCCATCGACTTCCCTCTGGGAGTTATGGCCAGTGTGAAAAGGTAGTGACAGAGAACAGCTTGCTCAACACAGAGCATTATTTATTTATCCATAGGAACATAACAAACAGAGAGGCTAAGAGATAAAACAACAGAAGGCACATGCAAACATTATCCTGCCCCAAATTAAGCTTTGCTTTGCACTTTAGGTAAGTCTTATTTTCCTCAGACAACCACCAGCGCGGGGATCAGTCAAAGAGTTGTCACCTTCTGCAACCACTGCCTTTTGGTGTTTGTCCCCCAGGCTGCATCTTCCTTAGTTCTCAGAGGTTTCACTTTCAGCTACTTTCAAACTGCAAAGCCCTGAATGTTTCAAACTGGGATCTCTCAACAGCCATGTAACCTTGGCCAGGCTCCTAATTTTTTATTAGTGGAGGTAAACATCAAAGAAACTTGGGCTGAATTAGGTGGATTCCTGCAGAGTTCCCGTCTTTCTTACATAACCAAGGCTGATCTAAATCTTCAGCCACCAGCATAGCTAAAAAATCCAGATACTGAAGTTATAAAATAACATTAAAAAAGAATTAGGTTCTTCACATTAACAACAAAATTGATCAATATTTTATCTACCATTTGTTAATTCTTAATATATTAATCTTTAAGATAACTCAGGACAAAAAATGCAGCAGTCAGCTACAGCCCACAGACATGAAGCACTTTTTGCCTCATTAAATGGTTGCAAAATTTTCAATCTGAAAAAGCAATTTACATCCCTGATATTGATCTGGAGCTAAATATAAAACAAAAATTTATAAAGTTTATAGAGTCTGCTGAAAATAAAGTGTGCAGCGCAAAGCAAGTGTCGTTAGAATGAAGTTATGGAGGACCTCTAGCTCTTTTCATATAATGAAATGTAAAGTACCACTGAAATCAAGGCGTAGGTCATTATTTATAGGGCAGGCAAAGCATTGATTCAGTGAAGGACTTAGGTTCAGAGTTAAAAGGACAATATTTAAAAGTAAAAATACATTTTGCAGATATAAAGAATATCAAATATAAAGAGTGGGGTACTGTTATTCTGTAAAAAAACCTTAGTGAGAATCTTACTATTGTATTCAATTAAGTTTGTATTTTATAAAGGATACTGATAATCTGAAAAGCTGGCAAAAAAAATCCACAAGGATGAACTACTGATTAGAAAAAAAAACTTTACACTGAGAAACTATGGCAACAATCAGTTCTGGAAAAAGATTCCAGATTACTTAAGCATAATCTGTAAATGTATATGGGGGAAAGATTCTTGATATCTGTTTGTTACATTTAGCAAAGATAAGAAAATACCAATTAGAAAATGAAGCTAGGCGAATTTAGAGCAAATTATCTTTTAAACAGGGAATAATAAACCACTGGTATAATTTACATAAAATAATATAAAGCCCACTGGACTGTCACCAAGCCTTTAAGTCAAGAATTTTTAGGTTTGCTAGCTATACTCTAGCTTAACCAGATATGTAGAGTCTAATGTAGAAACTACTGTTCAAAATTTCATGATTAATACAAACACATCGGTCTAGAAAATCCCCAATTGTCCCTTCTGCCCTTACAATTTCACCTCTTGCACATTTTTCCATCAAACACAGTAGAGAGCTTAACCATGAGTGGAGACTAGGGAGGATCGTAGACTTTAAGGCTTAGACCTTAGTACTGAGCAATAAAGTTTCAAGCCTCAGCCATATGACTTCCCTAAGGAAGATAAAATACGCTCAGGAGTGCCTCGAGTACTTTGGATTTAAATTTGATCCTCATTCCACAACTGACACTTTAATTGTAAGGCCTTTCTTTGCCTCGCATCTAGGAGACAGCAGAGGTGCTTTGGCAGACACACAATAGCTCTTTTATGAAAACAGGTTCACACGCACCTGTAACCCTGCCCTGTTTGCTGATTGCTTCTCGTTTCTGCTCACCTTATGCTCTTCTATACATTTGCGCAATGAAGTATTAAGATGGCCATATTCCTCTTCAGTGGTTTAATAAAAAATGTATCCTTAACTAAGTTTAAAAAAAAAAAGGGGGAAAAAAAGGGTATCTCAAAATGAAAGAATATACAGAAGCCTCCTTTAAGCAAACACATCTATGAAGGCCAAAAGGTAAAGCCATGTATTTACTGTGCTATATAGTCCATGGATCCCATTCCAGTGAATTGCACTGAGTTACTGATGGGATGCAGGGCTAGATCGGTACCAGCAGGTCTGTCCTCACTCCCCTCTCTGCTCTCACTGGAAGCACAGTGGCAGTGGCTGGGGGAGAAAGACACTCAATCAGTCATGTAATTGAGGCCAGCCAGACTCCAATACATACTGGCTCTGATCCATGCATGACGTTTGAGAAACGATGAATCAATCATCCTCCATGGCTGACCCAGCAGGTCAGTTCTGCTGAAGAAAGCAGAGTTTTACTGAGCTGGACCATGTCCTGTGGTGAGGGCACATCCACCACTGCATAGCAGCCCTGTGTGCACTTCACATGACCAGCAGCAGGGAGGAGCCTGAATCTTGGCACTATGAAGCCCTTAGACTTTACTTTGACCTAGGCATAGTGTCACCTCTAGCCTTCTCAAGTCACCTACAACTCTAACACATAAAGTGACAAAGATGTTTCCTCATGACTAGCCCGCAACCAGCTCCCTTTACCCTCAACACGACCAAGCCACAGAGGTTTTCCTGACTGAGAACTTGATTTAGTCTCCTACCCACAGACACCTGCTATTGAGATCCTACAGTATCCCAAGCGGTCTTCAACTGCTGCACCAGAAACTCACAGTCCTCCCACAGGTCTTGCGAGTACTATGTGAATGTCTCAGCTGATCTACACACAGTATTGTCTCCTGGTAAGTCTTCCCTATTTTTCTCATAGCTAACTGTGTATTTGATACATGTATAGCTTATGGTGGTGAAGAGAAGAATGAATTTACTTCATTAGCTCATGAGAGAGACAACACTACAGCATGCTACCAGAATTTGGAAACTCAATTTGCCATGACTACATCTTCTAAAAGCATAACACACACTGATGTAAATAGACACTAAATACACCCAATTAGGGAAGAATGTTAACTGAAGATTTTACTAGTTTTGCTAGGTAAATTACACATATACATGGGCTATGAAAACTCAGTATATAAACAAGGTACATATCCATGTTATTGTATATATTATTTACTTCCACCTACTACTTATTATCCTATGCACTTAGTGGTTTAATTTCCATTGTGATTAATGGATATCTTGAATTCAAAGATTCTTCTGATAAAATAGAATACTAAACATATAATTTTCAAAAACTAAGAATATGCTGAGCTAAAAATATGTTTCAATAATATGAAATTCCCACTCAGGTTTGTGCTAAGGATTCATTATCAAGCAATACATTTGTCTGGAAACCAAAGGAGAAAGAAAGGGAATTAACAGTGAGAAAGGGAACAGGGATTCCTCCTAAGACTTTACATATTCTTTTTGAATAATTTTCCTCTTTAAAAAAAAAACCAATCAATATTAACTATAGTAAGTGATTTTGAAGAGAATTTCCTGGTCCAGAAAAATAATAAAGCAAAACAAAAGGGTGAGTCAAACTCTCTTTGGATCACAAGGAGGACGTAGACGCAGGGTGAGGCAGAAAGAACAAAGATTTTTTTTAATACAGAAAATTATTTCCATTCTTAAAAAGCAGCTCGAAACTACCACACAAGACACTGAAGATACTATTAGTAATGTTTTGTACTGTGCACAGGGGTTCAACAGACGTCATCAGAAAGGATGTACAAAATAAAAAGATTGTCTCCTCATGCATTTATTTTGGCTTATTTGACTGGGCAATTTCATTATATTTGTCCTTTCAATTTGCAAAGATTATTCTGTGAATAATTTTTCTGTTAAGTATTTTTGAAAATATGACACAATGTTTTCATTTTTAAGTAGCAATATACACCAGTTACAAACACAACAGTGAGAAAGCTAGCAATTTAAAAAGGTACTAAGTGGCTAAAAACTTAAAACCATCAGATAAGTGATCGGTAGCTGACAGTGAGCTCCATCAGGATCTTAAGTACAATGGAGACAAGTCATTTCAACTGTAAAGATCACATTCATGGCACAATACACATTCAAGATTAATAATTCATTCTCCATGAAGCCACCGATTACATGGACATGTTCTCCACTTTTGGTATAATCTCAAATATTTTATTTTTTACTTGATCACTGCTGACAATCCCATCTTTAAAATGCCTACTTTTTTTGTTCTTTAAGTCTAGTTTCATGTCAAGTGTGTTATAATAAAGAAATAACACTAACAATTTGTTAGTATTGCTTCTCTAATTACTGAGGCTAATATGAAAAAAAAACCACTGAAAATTAAACATTGAAAAACTGGCAATTAGATTGTTCTATTTGGTACCTTAACATGAAGATTAGGAACAGTTTTCTGAAACACATACCTGAGGTAATTTTTCTGGAATAGGTTCATTCTGGAGAGCTTGAAGGGCCTTCATTGCAGCATTATGTCTAGCAGCTTGACGAGTCTTTCCTTCACCAAAAAACTCACTGTTGCCAACAGTTAATTGGACATAGAAAATTTTAGGCACTGGGCAGTGATACCTGGAAAGAAGTCATGAAATGAAAACAAGTTATGAATTTTAACCATCAATTTTATGTAATATAGAGCAGTAGTTAGTGATACAACAGTATCTTTTTCTCACAGAGTAAGAACTAACACTCAAACACGACTGTTCCTCAGCAAGACCATTGGTAACTCTGACAGCAGCTCCTACGTGCAAACCAACTCTTCGGCAAGCTCTACTGTACTTCAGCCCAACAACCCAGCTCTGCTCTCTTCTTGGTTTGAGTCTTGAGAAGATTAAACCTAAGGAGAACCAAAAGCTCCAGTGGAAGCCAAGCCTGGGAGACAACTCCTGTCCCACAGGAAGGTGGCACGGAGATAAGAAGGATTGTGGTCTCTCCTCTGAAACCTGCTGGCATATCTCAGCTCCTGGGGACAACAAAAAGTCAGATAGCAGAGAGTGGGGGACCTGGACAATATACTTCTAGACTCTTTTTAAAGCTTAAATATTGAAATTGTTGTAGAGGATAAGGAGTTCTTTTCCAAAGCATAACAGAGGGTAGGGAGAAGGTCTTCTCCAATGCTGTAATACTCAAACATTTTCCAGGCATTGAAAGAAAAGCAGCAATCACCACCACATTGTTTTCTTTTTTTTTTCCCTTCCTACAGAAAAATTTTGCAAATATAATGGCAGGGTTTGATTTTTTGAATATGTCTGAAAAGCACCGAAAGATAGATAAAGCAAAAAATTGAACATTTGCCTATGAACTGGCACTGGTGTTATTCCTCAAAGCAAGCAGTACCTTTATTCATATCAACCCCACATCTCTATTTTCAGTAATAAGAACAGTTAACCCTACCCATACTCCCAACCCTGAAACTTGTCTCTTGCTAGCAGCGAATGAAGAAAGAAATATAATGCCATTCTTGGGCTTGGGAGGTCCTGTCACAGCACTGTGACAACTAAAACATAAGAGCTTGTCCACACAAGCATGTCTACAGAAAAGAAGTATTTCCCCCCAAGACTCAGGAAAAGCAATTCAGCACAGATAATTAGTTCTAGTCACTGTTAAAATTATAACCTTTTAAAGAGAACATTTCCAAAAAGTCCTCTAACTATATTCTACATAGGTGAGGGAATTTGCTTTGTACCCTTCACTCTCCGGTCTGGTCTGCCTGTGCTCCTTCCTGAAACAAAGGCTTTTCTAACACACTGGAGATTTGGTCCTTGGAAAAACATATACCTATGAGAAAGGGCTTCTCATTTATGACAAATAACTTGTACAAATTTTACAGCAATGTAAAAAAGCCCAGGATTCCAAAAGCATGGCCAAAAGCTAGATCTGCCACAATAAAATGAGAATCACTCAAAAGAACACCAAAGTCCTACATTTTCCTTCTTCCTCTTAAAGGATCCTTATCAAAGCATGCTCTCTCCATTCTCATCTGTTGACATGGACAGTGATTTTTTTTCTATGAAGACTTTCTGATTTTTCATTAACGATTGTAACAGATTTGTTTCAACTATAAAACAAAACGTTTTTCAGATAGCAGCACACTTCAGACCCAAACAAGTGTGAATAAGCATTCCAGTCTCAGTGTCCCTGAACTTTGTGCCTAATTCTAAAAATAGGTTTATGTGGAAAGAGCCATAACACTGGCTCCAACAAGCCTCTGGCTATAGGGCCTTGGAGGGGTGAGCTAAGTTGTCTTTACGACATGCAAAAAGTGGCTATTTACTTTGCTTTCCTGTTTACAGTTTAACACAGTTATAGGGAATTATTAAGGCCTGGAAATGCATTTGCTTATGCAATATTTTCATAAAATTAAAGAATAACTCAGGTTGGAAAGGCTCCTGGAGGTTATCTGGGCCAATGCAGTGCCCAAAACAGGGCCAAGCTCTGAAGCTACACTGTCTTCTTCAGGCATGGTCCAGGGTACTGTCGATACCTCCAAGGATGAAGATGCTACAACGTCTCTGGGCAACCTGTTCCAGTGTTTTGACCACTCTTTCTGGAAGAACATTATGAAGATCCTGCATGCATAATGAAACTCAAACACCACGGTGCCATTCGTTAACAAAGCAGCTGTCAAGCCAAAGAACATTAAGAACATTCAAGAACATTAATTTCTATCCCACTCCACTGTGTCCTTCATTGCTTCTGATGTACAGCATTCATCTTCTGCCTCCCTCTGCTCCTAAAAGGTACAAACACATACCAAGACACTGTAGTGGCTTCACACTGAGATTTACCTCCAAAAGAGTGGTAGCTTTTCAAGTGAAAGGGAGAATTTCACCCTTTCCCTTCACTTGATGAGTTTACATAAAATGCTCCCTGTACCAACCTTTTCCTTCTATTTATTAGTTTTATTTGGTTTGCAATAGGAAATACTAGGAATTTTATATTTAGGAAATTTTTTTTAAAATTTAGGGAGTATGCAGGCAATAGATGTAAATAATACCTTGAAAAAATTTAAATCTAAGAATCAGGAACAGGCCTTTGGCACCAAACATAGGTCAAACTATATTTCCAAAGTGAAAAATATTACGCTTATTTAAAATCAAGGGAAAAATAATTAAAAGTTTCATCAGTGTGGTCAACAACAACTCCACTTCTTCCACGGCTGGCTTAGAGCTGTCTGTCCCTGGCTCCTCTACCCTGCTAATGTGATTCCTTTGAAAGACTTTCCTTAGTTTACCACAGAAACACAGAATAGTTGAGGTGGAAAGTGACCTCTGGAGATCCCGTAGTCCAACTCCCCTGCCCAAAGCAGGTCAGTTAGAGCAGACTCCTCAGGCCCACTTCCCATTGGGTTTTGAGTATCTCCAAGGGTCGTTGATTCAACAACCTGTCTGGCACTCTGTTCCTGTGTTTGACCACCCACACAGTAAAAAAGTCTTGTCTTTTCTTATGGAATTTCTTTTATTTCAGTTTGTGCCTCTTTTTCACTGGATACCACTAAAAAGAGCTTGGCTTCACCTTCTTTACTCACCCCCTTCACATATTTTATACACATTGATAAGATCCCCCTGAGCCTTCTCTTCTCCTGGCTAACCAGGCCCAGCTCTCTCACTCTCTCCTCAGATGAGAGATACTCCAGTCCCTTAATCACCTTAGCAGCCCTTCACCAAATTCACGCTGGTATGTCCATGTCTCTATTGTACTGGAGAGCCCAAAACTAGACCCAGCACTCCAGATGTAACCCCTCATCAGGGCAGAGTACAGGTGAAGGATGACTTCCCTCAACCTACTGACAACACTCTTCTAAATGCAGCCCAGGATGCTGTTGGCTGCCCTTGCTGCAAGGGCATGTTACTAGCTCGTGTTAACTTGATGTCCACCAGGACCCCCAGGTCCTTTTCTGCGAAGCTGCTTTCCAGCCAGTTGGCCTCCATTGGGTAGTGATGTATGGGGTTATTCCTGTCCAGGTGCAGAGATTTGCATTTCCCTTCATTGAACACTTCTTGAATTTCATGAAGTACTGTTCACCCACTTCTTCTGCCTGTCAAGGGATGGCAGAGGAACCCTCCGGTGCATCAGCCAGTCTTCCCAGGTTTGTATCATATGCAAATTTGCTGAGGGTACACTGCCACATCATTAATAAAGATATTAAACAGTATTGGCCCCAGTACTGACCACTGGTGTACACCACTAGAGACTGGCCTCCACCTACACTTTGTGCCACTGATCACAACCCTTTGAGCCTGGCAGTTCAGTCAGATTTCAAACTACCTCACTATCCATTTATCTAGGCCATATTTCATGAGTTTGTCAATGAGGATAAGAGACAGTGTCAGAAGCCTTGACAAAGTCAAGATAAACAACACCCACTCCTCTCCTCTCATCCACCAAGCTAGTAATCTCACTGTATAAGACTATCCGATTGGTCAGGTGCAATCTTACCTTCTTAAATCCATGCTGACTGCTTGCGGTCACCTGTCATTCTTAATATGCTCAGAAACAGTTTTCAAGATTGTTTCCTCCATCACTTTCTCGGGGATTGAAATGAGGCTGTCTGACTTATTATTTCCCCAGATCCTTCTTCTTACCCTTCATGAAAATAGGAGTGAAATTTGCTTTCTTCCAGTGCTCAGAAACCTCCCCAATCACAGCAATCTTTCAAAGATAATCAAGAGTGTCATCACTATGATATCATTCAGCTCCCTCAGCGCTCATGGGTGCACCCCACGAGGCCTCATGGACCTGTTCTGTCTGTTTAAATGTTCCCCAACCTGATCCTCCTCCATCGAGGACAAGTCTTACCTGCTCCAGCCTTTCCCACTATCTCAGGGACCTGGGACTCCTGAAGGCTAGTCTTGTCAGAAAAAGACTGAGATGAAGGCATTTTGAGTACCTTCATCCTTTCCATGTCCATTGTCATCAGGTCCTCTGCCTCACTCAACACCGGGTCCCTAGTCTTCCTTTTGCTGCCGTAGAAGCCTGTCTTGTTGCCCTTCACACCCCTTTCCAGACTCTACTCCAGACGGACTTCAGTTTTCCTAACCCCACACTTGCACACTTGTACAGTGTCTCTATATTCATCCTGGGTCACCTCACCTGGGTCACAAACCCTGTCTGAGTTCAGTCAGAAGTTCCTTGTTTATCCATGCAGGCTTTCTGCTGCCTTTGCTTGACTACCTGCACATCAGGATGGACGGTTTCATGTTCTTTAGCTTGGAGGAGGTGAACTTTGACAAGCTCTCCTGGACTCCTCTTCAGGACCGTATCCCCTGGGATTCTTCCAAGCAGGTCTCTGAAAAGACCCAAGTCTGCTATCCTGAAGTTAAGTTTGTGATCTGTGATATTTGCCTTTTTCTCTCCTCTGAAGGTCCTGTGATTATCTCATGGTCACCGCATTGACCCCATCCTTCACACCCCTGACTGGTTCTTTGAAAGTGTGAGCTCTGTCAGAAGTGCCCCTCCTCACTGATTCCTCAATTGCCTATTTCAGGAAGTTGTCACTGATGCACTCCAGAAACCTCCTGGATTGCTTCTGCCCTGCTGTGATGTCCCTCCAACAATACTGGAGTCCCACT